TCCAATGATAGTGACGTTACGATGAAGTTAAAGCTCATAGCGAACAGAAATGGTGACCATCTCTTTCTGTAGGTAGTCTTTGGCCTTGAAGTGACGCTTGAACCCTCTCAGGTAACTGCTGATTATTCCCTTGATGTGGTCTGGGATGTGATAGTGCTTCAGTGCTGTTCTGAGAAGATTGTGAGGAATTAGCCAAGTCCAGCCAGACTGCTGTCAGATTTCTTTGACCTGGCTTTCATGTATAATCTTGCTCAGGATCAGGGCCATTTTTTTTGACATTTATGAAGCAGCAGACTAAGAAAAGATGCTCAGACCCACTTCTTACCTGGCTATAGCCTCTAGATTATCCAGCAGAAATGTTTTTCACCAATGCTTTCCCAAGGCAAGTAAGAGTCGTCATCTCTCCAGCATGTTCTCTCCCAGTTACACATGCAGGATCCATCCTCGTCAGATGTTCTACTCTGAGTCGTCCTAGATGAGCAAGCTCCTCACTCGTCTCTATGTTCCTGAAGTCAACTTGGGCAGCTGGGGATGTGGCTGCCAAAGCCACTGACTGCTACTTGATCTACAAAGCACCAGACCATTATAGCTCTCTCTGCCCCCACAGGAGGGTGGACTCATGAATCTTGTTCTGGGTAGGCCCCGACCACTCAGTGCCCATTTGAATGACACTTAATCTAACCCACCGCTGAAGACCATTTTGTGTTGGGAGGCCCACCAGAAAAAGTTTCTGTCGACAACACAGGTCTTGGGAACATGATTAGATGGTGATGGATGGAGGGGTTATTACAGTAAATCAGTGCAAAATATTAGACCGTACAAAAATAAATCTAAAGAAAGCAAAACAACATAAATCTGTGCAGACAGAATTATCAATAAGTTCAGAAAACCAGGCTGAAAGGCTTGGAAATAATATGACTGTAAGTAAGTTTAACACCCCCCCCAACCAACCCCAAACCTTCCTTTTTTAGGAAACCCTTTTCTTTTGCCTTTCTTCTTTGGTTGTTTTTCCATTGTTTTACCTTCGTTTTAATTGGATTTTTTTTGTTTTACCTTTTTTTTGAATTAAGTTTTTTTTTTTTTTTATTTCAATTTTGTTTTTTTCACATTTGTAAAAAGCAACCGCTGGAAAATAAAATGCATCATCTTATGCAGCTATTCTTTCAATAAATTCAAAAAGCCACAATTTTTCACAAAATAGACGCAGCCTCATTTCAATTGCAGACTCTCAAAATTGTGCACTATTCTGATGACAGCTGTTATGTTTTAGGACATTCATTTTCTGGATAGACCTGTCTTTATCTACTTGTAATCCCAAAATGTAACAATTTATGTTCAGAGTTACTTTTGCCCTCATGACATTTTGTATGTCCTCACAGTGGGACACAGGAAATAAATTTGACTCAAACAAAAAACTAAAGACACACAATGAAAACAATGTTACCTTTGATTCCAGCCCACATCTAAGTTCCAAGCTCAACAGACAGCTGTGTTTACAGCATGTATTCAAGAGTTAAACCAACCGGTTACAGGTGGACATTTTAAAAGCAGTGATGTGACCTAGTCCTTGAACTTTAAATGGATCATTGTATTGTAGAAAACAAATTTTCAACCATGTAAAAGCCTGAAAGGAAACTCTGTGACCATTATTCACTGCACAGAAGAGCAGTGGCTCTTTGTAGTGCCTTAAACCTGGATTCTTTTTAGCACCGGGCCAGCAGAGGGCGACTCCTCTAATTGTAGATAAGTGTAAGGAAAATGGCCTTTCACTTTTTTGATCTGTAACCTCAGTTATACTTAAGATTGTAAGTTAAGCTTTATTAAATAGAACACAGTGCTCATTTATGATATTATTATTCCCCCAGTCAGA